AAATATTATAATTATTTATTTATAAATAAATATCAAAATATGAATGACCTTAGCAATTTAATAAGCGATCATATCTACACTTATAAAACAACCTTTAAGGATTACATTGAAACTTTTGTCAAAATTTAAGGAGCCATGCATATTTTCATTTTTAATTTTATTTCAAACCCAAGTATTTTACATTCTACTTAGCAGTCTCAAATCAAAATAATGTGTTTTAGAAGGTGATTAAATAGTTAAAACGTTGTTTATCTATTTTAGAGATTTTTTTTTTATCTTGGTTACACAATAAGAGGCAACAACTTCTCATCCTTTATTCCACCACTTTCCATCATTTATCTTACCTCACTTATATGTCATACGACTTGAATTCAAAATTTCTTACTTTCAACGAAAATATATAACTATTGAATTATTTAAGTCATTGTCTCTAGAGATTTTAAATCTAAATTTAGGTGAAATGATTGGTGACAAAATTTCAAATTTATCCTTTAAATAGGAAGGTAGAAATAGATTCACTTTAAAAAAAATATAGGGATAAATTTAATTTCTAAATTATTAATCAAAACAAATAATCCATTATTCAACATGTGATGTAATCACATATTAGCTTTCTATTAAAGATGCTTAGGTAACAAATAGATTTCTTACGTGTGATAATATTATATATTAAATAATAAATATTTTATTTTAATTGATAATTTAAAAAAATAAATTTTTAAATTTTTTTTTAAAAAAAAATTATCTTTACTCTCTTATTTGAAGGATGAATATGAAAATTCTATCATCATTGACAAAGGAGGATTAGGACCATCCCTCGTATAGTACGTTGTTTAAAAAGGAAAATCAAATGAGTTATGTTGGATTTTTTTTAACATAATCGAGTAATTTAATCAAAGTTTAGAGATTATAAATCTTTAATCACATATTTCTGCTCCTGCACCAGCCAGTGCTCCGATCTAGGTTCATCTTCATTGTCGACTCACCAGCAACAAATCTCTGCATCCAATACCTTCTCTTCCGCGTTTTCATTATAAAATTTACCTTATAAAGGTCGCTAATGTCTTTAATGAAGTTTGGGTTAATCAATTAATGACTTAAAATTAAGGTCTCACAGTTTTAAGAAGGTGGGATTTAACTTTCATAAATATTAACGATTTTTTTTTTTCTTCAGATTTTTTCAGATTTTGTGTGAATGAAATGTAATTTGTCCTTTCGCATTGTAGCCATTTTTCCAAATCCAACGAAGTGAAATGGAAGTGTCATGTATTGCACGTTGACGAATGAAATGCTTTAATCAATTTTTTTTTTTTTTTTTTTTTTTGGTTACAGGAGATTCACGTGGAGGAATAGTGGCCGGATTTGATTTTGAACCAAACTTAAGGATATATTCAGGAGTGTTCACGTTGGTTTTGCCACTTGAGCCACTACTATCTTTTCAATCGTCTACTTTGTCCTTTTTACATGAACTTTTACCAATCTGAGCCAACTACTTTAATGGCTTGATAGTAATTTATTTGTTTATTTGTAAAAGTAAAATACTATAATTCAAGTTGTATGCAAAAATGATGAATTAAGAAACGAAAGATGATTAAAAAAAAAAACTACTCGTGAAAAAGGGCATGGTCATGCCTACCATTCAATGTTAAAAGGCCACCCAATTTTATAAATATTTTTTTGTTAAAATATTAATTTTATTTTATTTGATGATTAAAATAATTAATAATTATAATTGTTAATTAATAATTAATAAAATAATTGATATTTATTATTTAACATATTAAAATTAATTTATATACTAATATTTTTAAATATTAAACATATTGTTTATAAAAAAAATATCAAAATATAGATGACCTTAATAATTTAGTAAATGATCACAATCACACCGATAAAAAACCTTCAAGGACTACATTGATTCTTTTTTGTGCAAATTTAAGGACTGGCCATGCCTATTTTCACTTTTAATTTTATTTCAAATCCAAGTAGTTTACATTCTGCTTAGCAGTCTCAAATCAAAATAATTTTGCTTTTATAAGACATACAAATAGTTAAAATCTTCCCTTGTATGGTCCGTTTTTCAAGGAAAACCACATGGGTTCTGCTGGTTTTTTTTTTTTTAATATTAATTGAGTAATTTAATCAAAGTTTAGAGATTCGAAGTCTTTAATCCCATGTTTGCGCTCCTGCACCAACCAGAGCTCCGATCTCGGTTCATCTTCACTGTTGACTTACCTGCAAGAAGATCTCTGTATCCAATACCTTCTTTTCCCCGTTCTCATGGCGTCTCCCTACCCAAAAGCCATTAATCCCTCCCAGACCCGGATTGGATGGATAGGCACCGGCATCATGGGCGCACCGATGGCTTCTCGCCTACTCGTTGCTGGCTACTCCCTCACCGTTTACAATCGCACCCTTGAAAAAGCCCTTCCCCTGCAGTCCCAAGGCGCTCGCGTTGTCACCTCCCCAATAGAAGTCGCTCGCCATTCTGATGTCGTTTTTACTATTGTGGGCAACTCTAGAGATGTCAATCAGGTGACGCTCGATCCAAGCGGTGTTCTTCCTGGGTTAAATTCCGGAGGGGTCGTCGTTGACATGACGACTAGTCACCCTGCTTTGGCCCGGGAGATTTTCGCTGCTGCACGAGCAAAAGGGTGCTGGTCAGTGGATGCACCAGTATCAGGGGCTGATACCGGCGCGAGAGAAGGGAAGTTGGCTATATTTGCCGGCGGTGATGGAGATGTGGTGGCGTGGTTAAAGCCATTGTTTGACATCATGGGAAAAGCCACCTACATGGGTGAAGCTGGATGCGGGCAGAGTTGCAAGTTCGCGAATCAGATCACCGGAGGTGCAGTCCTGGTTGGATTGAGTGAAGGGTTGGTATTCGCGGAGCAAGCGGGGCTGGATTTGAATAAGTTTCTGGACGCGGTGAGGGGAGGGGCGGCGGGATCGAAGCTGATGGAGTTGGTCGGAGAGAAGATGATCAGGAAAGACTACCGGCCAACCGGGTATGCTGAGTATTTGGTGAAAGATTTAGGAATGGCTCTGGACACTCTGGAGGAGACAGACGAACAGAGGACGGTGGTGGTGCCTGGCGCGGCATTGACTAAGCAGTTGTATTGCGCAATGGTAGCCAATGGAGACGCCAAGATTGGCATTCATGGCGTTAAAACTGTAATAGAAAGGATTAATGGAAAATAAACCCATTTTTGTATGTTGATGATTCTGATTAAGCTAATTAATAAAAAAGATCAATTTCAAAAATTCTACTTTTTGTCTTGATGATTTTGATTGAGCTGTCCATCAGAAACAGGGTGTTTGTTTCGTGGGAAAATTTTCAGAGAAAGTGATGGGCTGCTCTGTCGAGCTTGTTTGGTTTGAAGAAAATCGGAGGAATGGAGAGGATGGAAGAAATTGAAGTAGAAATTGAAAAGTTTCATCTTTTGCTTAGTAGAAATAGAAAGATTCGTCCTTAGAGCAACAATAATAACTAAAAAACCTACCTCCTCAAGGCCGTCAATGGCATCTCTAGTAACCATTGTCGCTCTGCAAAATCCAAAATGGAGCCCTAAGAACCAAAGCCAAGGGCTTCTCTTTTTCTTCTTTTTTTGGATTCATATTCACAAGCACGAGAGTGGCAAACCCAGAGAAAAAAATGGAGTCTCGATCAGATTGGTCTCCGAGGGAGACGGTGATCGTCGTAATGGATGCGAACAAGAACAAGGTGGGCATGGATGCTCTAGACTGGGCGCTTAAGCACGTCGTCCACCCCAGAGACACCGTGGTGGTGCTCGGAGTGCTCTATGAAATTGAGAAGAAGAGCACTTCCTGCTTTCCTCTCAACATGGGGATTAGCATTAATGCAATATGTGTGCTTTCTGTCCCTTCAGTCTGTT